CAAATGTGGTTCTTGTTGTTTGCTTCTGACATGCTAAGTTTTTATTATGCAAAAATTTCCTAAAGAATCTATCTTATATTTGATTTAACATCCTTTTTAACTTGTTTAGGGAGATAAAAGCTGTTCTTTTGTTGTTGTTGTTGTTTTACTACAATATCAAGAAAGAATTAAAAAAATTCATTCAAGGCAAGTTATTCATTCAAGATAGAGGAGGGTGTTTTAGATACAGATCAAAAAGTACTACAGGCAACAATAATGCTAAGGTCTTAACAATACTCTAATATAATAGAGATTTGATTATTTGTGAGAAATTATGTGATTTACACATATAATATATGTGATTCACACATATACTTACTAAGAGAAAGGGAAAGTGCAGAATAATTGTTTACAAGTGCCATTTTGGTTTTGAATAAGAAAAGCTCTACTTAAACTCATTACATCTTATCAAACCAACCAAAAGATCAGAAAAAATATATATATTCATAAAATCAAATGAGCCATTTCAATAATGTTAATAAAAAAACACATAGCGTATATAGCCAGTTATCTTCAAAGTCTCAAAAACTCGTGGGAAAAGACCTTTAAATCTAAATATAGTGAACTATTTGTCGTAAAATTTCCTTTCCCCTTTGGAAACTGTCTGTTGTTGATCACAATAATCCATCTTCCATTTAAAATTATATTACAGCATTTAAACATTTCCTAGATCCTTTTTTTGGGAGGGTATTCAAATTGAGCTAGATTTATTAGCTTGGGTGGCAATGGCCATTGCACTTTTAATTTTGGTTTAAAGAAACTGAAAAAGTCAACAATGCTTGGCAATTCATTTATCCTGATATTTTCTCGGACTTAAAAACATTGTAAATATGATAAAACATCCCACGTTCCCAAGTTAAGTCTTGACTATGAAATAAAACTTTCCACACCCCATTTTGTTTCCTGCTTGCTTCAACATCAGTGTCTTGATGCTAACACTCTGGCCTCTTTCAATTGTTTTTTATAAAATTCATAGTGCCATGATGTTATGTTAGCTAATAAAATAGCAAGTGTCATTTTATCACTGGTGTCACTGAAGATGAGCAAGGATGATGGAGAGTCAGTTAAGGCCAAAGTTATTATGCTCTACGAAAAACACTGTTATCAGCCTGGTAACGAAGGTTAGTGCTCTTTAAATTCCTTGCTACAGGGAGGTTACAGTTTATGCATTTTAATGTAATGTCCTCCCTAGCTGTTGCGCTTTCTTGAATTGTGTTTACTTGGCTCTTTGTTGAGAGTTGCTTTCTTTTGGGTAAAGTTGACAAAAGGTGTACTATGCGCACATGTAAAAAAGAAGCCTAAAACTGTCTCCTATTGTTGCTTCTGCTTTATTCCCTGTTCTGTGTGTCAAGCAGATTAGGTTGCAAAGGTGCCTCAAATGTTGTTTTATTGTTGCTAGGGGGATTTAAAACTGTTTATGGCTTTTGTTATATCTTCGGTTCTTTAGGCATTGAATGAGGCAGAGTGTTGAAACAGCAACAAGTTTATTAACTCAGAACAGAAGCAGCCCTAAAGGCTGCTGCACAGCTATTTATACAGTTAGCCTCTAGGTGGCAACCAATAGGTTTAAAGCAGTGGTTCTCAACCTTTTTAATGCCGCGACCCCCAACCGGTCGTAAGTCGAGGACTAAACCGGTCGTAAGTTGAGGACTACCCAACCGGTCGTAAGTCGAGGACTTTCTCTGCCCGGGAGCGCCGTGCATGCGTGGTTCCGCCCCCTGCGCCGGCCGAGGCGTAGCTGGCAAGTGGCAGAGACGGAGCAGGCCGACCACCAGCTGGCCCAGCCCAAGGGAGGTAAGGCACCCGCCGGAAAAGGGGAAAAAAATGGTGGACAGCCTTGCTTGGCGACCCCCGTGAAATGGTCGATCGACCCCAAATGGGGTTGCGACCCATAGATTGAGAACCGCTGGTTTAAAGTAACATTTCCCACCCCAAACCTCATTATCAGCTTGGAGACAGCCAGTCTGGCTTTCAGTAACAGCAACTGTTAAACAATACAGCAATGTAGGTCAGACATTAAGCAAGTGATTTAAAACAGTTGTGGCCAATACATTACAGTTTTCTTTAATCACTCTGAATAATTTTTGTAGGTTAAGTAATAATACTCTGCATGTGCTTTTTGTAGTTGGTTTAGAACTAAACAAATAACAGAGGAACAAGGGTTGTTAACACTATTTGGTAAGGTTGATTACTCAAAATGTTTTGAATTTTGTGGCACAGAAACATGGAATTGTCAGAAATTTGTCAAGTGCAGATGTTTTGCTTCAAGTTCTGAACAATTTTTTAAAAGTTCATTTTATGTACCTTTCTAATCTTTCTTTGCCTCAATGCTATTTCCCACACTTTAAAATAAAGTGTGGAAAATAACATTATTTAAAAAATAGCAAAACAGCAGCAGTTTTAAAGATCCCATCAATTAATAATTATTTTACTGTTATTGTTATTATTTGTATTATTCATATTTTTATATTTTTTTCTTTACCGTTGCCTTAAAAATTGTCTTCTTTTTAGAAATATAAAATTCAGAAATTCAAAAGATATGAATGTACTCTACAGGTATTTCGTTGTTATTAAATTAGATTTTTATTTTTCCTAAATGATTCTATTATTAGTAATGGTAGTGGTTATAGTATTGATGAGTAATAATAGTACCAGTATTTTTATTGCTGCCTGAGTTCTTGAAGGCAAGGCAAGATCACAGTCAACTGATTAAACAAATAAATAGAAATAAAAAATTAATATTCTGAATGCTTAATACTAATGGTACATTAATATCAATAAAACAAAAATGCTGCAAGGTCTGTGGCTGAGTTTCATTTTTGGAAAGTCTGAGGGCTTCACTACTCACAACTAACACCACTTATTATTTTGTCACAATGAATTCCTTCAATGAAATGACTGTTACTGGAGAATAAGGCAAACAATTTTGTTATGGCCATTGTCAACGCTGCTAACATCAGATGTTCTTGCTTTGACAACAGATGGAAATGTAGCCATCTTTTCTCTTTCACTTTTAGAGTTAGTTGATGCTGGGAGGGGGGATGTGGATGAGAGTCCAGTTAATCATAACAATAATAACTCAGCTGTGGGAATCCAAGGTTATTTGTGTAAATTTGTGTATATTTATTGTGGTTTTTATTATCGCCTGTTCACCGCCCTGAGTCCCATAAGGGAGATAGGGTGGTATATAAATTCAATAAATAAAAAATAAATAATAAAATAAAATTGCGCCCAGAGTTGATAAAGATTTGGCAGGCTGAAGATCTGGGGAGAAAGCCCACACTTCAAGCTAATTGGGGAATGTGATTTATGACAGTTAATTGGAGGAGAGAATTGTGCTTTGCTACTTTGTGCCCAGGGGAGAGGAATTCAGTTTTTGGCTTTAACTATGTAGTGCCAATACTTTGTTTCTCGAATAAAAGATTATTTAAGGTAAACAATGCCTCGAAGTCCTTTTGAAGAGTTTCATCTGTTGGAACCATGACAGCCATGACATTTACATCCTATTGAAAAAAAACCTAATAATTCATATTAACAAAACTATGTTGTAATTCAGAATTCTGAATTTTTTAGTTTGAGAAAAGGGGAGAAACCTCTTCATTTCTGCCCTCTGCTTCTGTAGCTTTATTTGTTCATCTGATTTCAGTACAATCTCTACTACCGGTAATGCCTGTATGTTCATTCCATGACTTGTAAAGTTACCACTATCTTTATCTTTTTGACATTACTTTCTTCTTTTTTTCCCACACTCCACCAAAATAAGAGGAGGGATATATAGGGAAGGTATGGGTGGCATGCTTTTAAATTTAGCTAAGACTACCAGTTGCCCAGATACAATAATCAAATTAATATGCAGTATTCAGATTCAGGAACAAAAATAGATGTATTCCTGATAGATGTATTCCCTCTCTTCAACTGAACTGACAAAGTACTTTATTAACCTAAGGACTTGCCTGAAGCTATTATTCTTTGATGTCCTTTAGCTAAATCTCAGGAAGATAGTCCATCAAATTTATATATACACTGGCTCTTGGAAAAGAGCTATGCTCACATATGCACGTGATCCAAAATACACTTCTGAATCATTTTTGAAGCATTCAGAAGCTTCAAAATAATATATACACTGTTTGTGTTACATATGCCTTTTTCATTTACCTCCTTTTTCTAGAGTATTTTGCCCCTTTTTCTTAAGTTTCTGATCTAAGACTGATAAAAATATGAACAGGGAGCCCAAGAACAGCAATTTCAGACTGATCCCAACTGACAAAACACAAGCTGATTGATCATATGACTCAATCAATTTACATCAAAATTTGTGAACAAATTGAATATTAATATGTTACGTGGTATAGTACTGAAATTTGTTTCTCAATTTCTCTTAAATGTGTGAAGCATTCTCAGAGCCCTTTCAAATTTTTAAAGAATTCTTATAACCTTATTTTATTACTGTCAAGTATAGAGGGTGCAGGTATATCCTGTTTTTTTCTGCTATCTGTCTGTGCAGCCTTCTTGATTACCAAATTTTTTTGACCTGAAAAAGCTTATAGGAAGAGATCCTTTAAAGTGTCTTTCCTGGGGACTGAATTGCACCAGGGGAACCAAGTGACCCTGCCAAATGTCAGAGAGAGTTTTGTACAATAACAATAACAATAACAATAACAACAACAACAACAACAACAACAACAATAATAATAATAATAATAATAATAATAAACATGTCTTTACACAATTTAGGATATCTTATAAATAAGGGAAGTGCAGGAACTTGTTAATGATCATTTCATGAATTTCGTTTCAACTAAATTTCATTTTCGTTAAATTGAAAAATGATTTCAAAAAGGCAAAATAAACTTGAACGTGGTAGTTGTAAGCCAATCTCAACTCAATGCAATTGTTCAAAATTAAGAGAGAAGAGTTTAAAAGTCATTCATCAACCCCCTTTTAAAACATTTATTTGACAGTGATTCCAGAATTCATTGCTCAAGTCAACACTGCACTGGAAAACTTAAGCAGGAATACGATTCATCTGTTTGATGATAACCAATTTGTTGACATCTCTAAGAAGATTTACGATACAGTTCATGACATTAGATGTTCCGTTATGATGATTCGGGTAAGTATTTGATTCTTTCACTCATTTCTAATTAACAGATGTGTCATTAATATTGCTATGCAACATTAACATGGGCCAGAAACTGAACAAAAATAATGTGGAAATAGCAGTTTCAGGGGTATTTTTTTCAGTATAATAAAAAGTATTAGAATGCTGCTGAGTAAAACCATATTATTGCATCATGGACCTATTATATCTACTACAAGTAAAAGAAATGCACTGCAAATTTCTTCCCTATGTCCCAGGACTTTTCTTGTTTTTCTAAAGATATACTGTAAAGTAAACAATGATGGGAAATAGCACTTCAAACTGTAAATGTTTCTTATTTCTAAGTACTCCCCACATGCAATCAGCATGGGGGTACAGCAGAGGCTATCCTGCCCTTATAGGAAAGTAGAAGTCAGTCCCTGGGATTCAAATACCCACAGGCCAAGCACACTGGGTCAGAGGCATCTTCAAGTTCACTCCCAGTGCTTGAATCTGAAAATTGGTGAATACTCTTCTCTGGTGTAGATTGAAAAACAAACTGTTGGGGCTACATTGCCAAAGAGTTTGAGGTAAACAGAATCCGAGTCCTTTCCATGCAGTCATTTATTTGAAGTCAGCCTTCTGTTCCATTTCACAGAAAGCAAAAGCAGTAGGAAGCAAAGAAATAGCTAGACCTTAAAAAGTGAAGCATTTTATAGTGCAGTGGTGGCAAACCTATGGCACGGGTGCCAGAGGTGGCACTCGGAGCCCTCTCTGTGGGCACACGTGCCGTTGCCCCAGCCTTGCCTCCGTCCGCGACCCCCTCCTCTCCAGCAGCCCCCCTGAAGGAGAGTCACCCCCGAGCGTGGCCCACACGGAGCAGCACAGCCAAGGACATGGCAGCCAGGCAGCGTAGACAAGACTCTGCCCTCACACCCCATCATGCAGTTGATATTGCAGGGCGTGGGCAGAGGGTGTGGCCACCATAGCGCTGCTGGGCTGCCTGGGTGATCTTCGGCGGGCCCTGGAGGCGGTGAGTGGTCCTGTGGGCAGGCAGGGCGGGGGATGGAGGGCAGAATGGGGGCGGGGCAGGGGGGTGGAGCGGGGGCGGGGCCAGTTTGTGGGCACTCGGTCTCTAAAAGGCTCGCCATCACTGGTATAGTGTAACAGTGACTCTTCATTCTATTTCACTTCTCATTGCTTTTCATTGCTGCTCCCTTTTGTCACCCATAATCTCTCCTCGTGGGTGTTCCATTTTCTATTCATACCTCTGTCCTTTGGGTGCTATTTTCAGATGCTCTGTGTTTTCATGTCTTTTTTTTTTCTTTTTCTTTTTCCTGCACAAGCACAGGTTTTACTAGATGTTCCTGCAATAATTACTACAAATATAGAATACTATATTGTCTTGCTCCTCCCAACTGAATGATAGTCACCCTCTGCAGCAGTGTTCTTCAACCTTGGCAACTTGAAAATGTGTGGACTTTAACTTCCCAGCCAGCATGCTGGGAGTTGGAATCTACACATCTTCAAGTTGCCCAATGGAGAAACACTTTCTACAGTTTGGTTTGGGCAGCCCTGGACTAGCAAGGAAGAACACCAACTGGCTTTATCTGTCTAAAGCAGAGTCAGAGATACTGGTCCCATACACTGGAGGAAACCATAGTAGAATCTTTAAATCCAAAAGACTCAGTGCTAGAAGTGAGTCCTTTGATTTTTATATGCAAATTAGTTAGAGATGATAGGCAAGTTTAGCATGTTATTCATGCTTATAAAAGCTTTTTAAAAGTTTTATAGAAAAGTAGATTCTAGCCTGTACATCAAAAAAACCAAATTATTTGCTAACTGACACATTCCTTTCAAGTACTGCACCCACATGAACGTAGTCAATGCAGAATGAACACTTCTCTTTATTATCAGATGAGCAAATTCATCAACACATATTTCTAAGGAACGTTGACTCTCATCTCTGGAACAAGTTTTCTTTCTAAGAAACACATTTTAATTTTATTAGCATACTATACAATGGTAAATATTTTTGGCACAATTCTTCTAAGAGAAGTTGCAAAATACTGGGCTGATGTGGTAGGGACTAAGTGACATTGCGGTTTTCAGAACAAAGCGTAGATAGATATTAAATTTACACACGCAATGAACATTTCAAATATGCTGTTTACAGTTTTCTAAGTGCTATTATCATTGACTCTTTAACCATGTATGAGATACATTGGCCATTTTTTTTTAAATTTGCATAGTTGTGATATTCAGTAAAAGAATCAATATGTAGCTATTTACTCTATTCATATAAATTTGATGAAGCCAAAAACGAAGGAAAATTGTACAAAGTGATTTAGAACACAGAGTATATGGAAATGTGCATGCTTCAGTAAACACATGGGAAACCTTTCTTACTCTCTTTCTGCCCTTTCAAATATTCCCACCTCCAAGCAAAGAGGATGCAAGAGTTTTTCTCAGTTTAAAAGAACTCTTGCTCTCATTGTCCCAAAAATTCAGCAGGTAGAACTTGGCCTTCCTTCACCAAAAAGGCAATCCATTATCCCTTAATTTGCCTATGTGTAATTTGGTCATCTCAAAGTATTTGCCAACCATCTTCAGAGCACGTTGTTCTCTGGATTTACCACTTTCAGTCTAGTATGCTACAGTACAAGAACCCTTGTACAAATTCCACCCCCACTTTAGCTTTCCCAAAAAAATCGACTGGCTATTTGCAAAATAATCTAAGCAGTTGCTCTAAAGCAGGGTGTCATGTGTCTGATTAACGAAACACTTAAAAGGACTTTCAGGCATATTTTTTCCTAAAAGCATTTATTAAGGTTACAGAGACGTCAGTACAGCATGGTGGAAATGCTTAGATCTGGCCTCCCTTCCGTTACACATATACATTCCAAGCATTTTCCCCTCCCCCACCTTGGGGTCATGGCTCACATCTTCCAATCAACCTGGAAGATGTGATTCACTTCCAGTTTCTTTTTCCCCGGGCTATCCTTATTCTCCTCCCTTTTTCCCTGTTGCCTGGTTTAACTATAAAAATACCAGACAGTTCTGCACATTGTCAAAGCAAGAATATACAGCATTTGCAGCGTTGACACAGGGGTCTTCAAACTTGGCCCTTTTATGACTTGTGGACTTCAACTCCCAGAATTCCTCAGCCAGCGTGCCTGGCTGAGGAATTCTGGGAGTTGAAGTCCACAAGTCATAAAAGGGCCAAGTTTGAAGACCCCTGCTCTAAAGGGACTAAGGCAGACATATCATACTTGTGACGTCACGAGATATTGCGCAATGTATCAGACCTTTTTCCCCATTGCCGGCAATGGGGTGGGCGCGGTTTCCTGGTGACGCATCCGGCCTGCGGGCCGGCAGTTTGACACCCCTGGACTAAGGTACCATTCTTCATTCGGCATTTACAATAGTGAAACAAATCACACCATGGCAATTTTGCCCCCACATTGATTTTTGCTAAAGTGGCAGTAGTAGATAATGACAATGTATTTTCTAAACAAAGCCTATACTCAAGACCTATGATCACATTTTAACCCCACTGTTCCAGCTCCACCTTTCTGTTCCAAGAAAGCCAGCTAGATCCACTTCTAGAGTGAGAAGAAAAGCTGATAGATCTACTGTAAATTTGCCATTCTTCTCCTCACTTGGGCTGTCATAATAGTGCAAGGATCTAAGAGTCAAATCAGCCCCGATCAATTCCAGATTCATTTTAACATGCAAATAGCAGGGCAATGTGCATTTTTCTGATTCCATGCGAACATAATCTGAGCAATTGGTTAGAACGGGAACCTGTCAAGTCACTTTACCCCTTTAAGTATCTGAGAAAACAATGCGATGCAGAGTGAGATCAGGGTTTCTGTCCTGTGGACAAACTCTTCTTTGATAGGAATAGGAAGATTTGTCTTCTTTTGTGATGCAGTTAGTTGAGTTAGAAAAAAAAAATCAAATCAGAGCAGTTCCTGAAGGCATGAGCATTTGCTTAGGGACAGAAATCTCTTCCAGTGAGCTGAGCTGTGTGTTAGTTAGAGGATGTATGTCAGTGTGAAGCTCAGTGACAAAGACAATTGTAGCATCAATGTCTCTTGATAAGAGAGAAGGCAGTGGCCGCAGTATTTCCAGCTGATTAAAATAATTGGTGTTTCTTGAAAATGCTCCACGCTAATCTGGAAGGAAGATAGTTTGTAGAAGTGTGTCAGTTGAAATTATAGGTCACTGTAAGCCATTAAAGGTTATTTGTTTGTTTGTTTTCAATGTACTTTCCAAGGTGACTGTATATATTCCACTGAAGCGTGCCCTAGGGGACAATTCCTAATATACAGAAACCTTCTCATACTTTCCTCTCTTGGGAAAAAGTCTGCCCTTCCCCAAGATGCTATATTGTTATCTCTCTCCTTCCTCTATCTACTGGGGGGAGGGGGGCAAGTGACAACTAGTAGGTAGGAAGATAGATTAGATATCAAGCTCCAAGGTCTTAGTGTAAAACATGATTTATCTATATTACAATAGTTAATGCTGAATTTGGAGACAAACCAACAAAACATTTCTGTTCCCTAAATTTTAGCATAGTCCACTGCTCACCTGAGGCATTGTAGGGTTTGTTTTAATATCACAAGGCCCACTAACTCCTAGCACTGACCTCATTCCCTCAAAACTAGGGTGGGTATTTTGACCAACAAAAAAAGGAGAAAGACGGGAGAAAGCCTGCATTTGGAATGAAGGACAATCAATCCAAGATTTATTTTAAGCTGTGTATTATAGGCATTTCAGCATATCTGTGCATTATTTAGGCATGTGAACCTTCCACAGCAGCCAAGGTGAGGAAATTAGCATGCATTATGGCCAGCTGCTGGCTGGGATGCATTGATTCTCTGCCAGATGCATCAGGCTTCTGATTATACAAGGAATTCAGTGCTAATGTGAGCAAAGATTCTTGATCAAAAGGTAACTGGGAGAGGCAGATGAACAACATCAATTCATGAGGCTTCCTTTCAACATGAAAAGAGAAAGAGAATCTC